GTTTTAGCCCCGGCGGCTGCCGCGGCCTTCTCGGGGCGCACGGCGTGCCCTCAGCCTATGGGGCAGCGCCGCCCCGCAGCTGTCAGCTTTGCTTTGGGTCGCGCTGGCCTGGGCTCTTTGGGCACTTGCATGTTAAAAGAAAGAAACCTAAAAAGTAAGCTGAGTCACTGAGTTGTCTGAACTTTGGGATAGCACAAAGTGCAGTTCGTACCTTGGGGTAAAGGTGAAGGACTCTCACAAGTACCTCTGAATAGGACTATAGGTGTTGGTGTTACCAGCAAAGTCCCTCCAATAGTTGGGTGAAATAATGCTGTGAGCCAAGGTGTGGGACTTCAGGCATGTTTTATGGATGTTCATAAGGTTTGGGGACAAAGACAGCTTGCTCCTGGGAGCCTCCTTGCCTTCTCTCAGCCCAGTGTTCCCAGGAGACAAATTTAAACCTCATGAAACCCTAGATTTGAGAATTGGACAGATGAGGTATTGTTAAGATGTTACAGAGACTTTATAAACATTTCTGAAGAATGTTGCTGAGATATGGCATCATTTGGGCAGCAAATTGTGCATTTCTGAAATACTTTTGCTCACTTGACAGATTTGATGAAAAGGAGAATGTATCAAACTGCATCCAGCTGAAGACTTCAGTTATTAAAGGTATTAAGAATCAGCTGATAGACCAGTTTCCTGTTATTGAACCATGGCTAAACCAAATTATGCCAAAGAAAGACCCAGTCAAAATAGTGAGATGGTAAGTTTCTTTTCTCTTAACCTTGGTTTCCAGGGTGATAGGATTGCTTCCTTTATGTGTTTATTTTGTGTAATAGATGAACCTAGTGTTTTTGAAAACCATCTTTCTTACTGTCTGTGATATGCCCAAACCAGAAAGTTTGCATGTGTTCATCACGCTCTGGAAGGCATGCTACTAGGACGCTTGAGGAAGACAGAAATGGGGCCTAGTACTGAATGTGTAACACGTCTGGTAACTCTTCAGGGATCATTCTGTTGTTGAAGTGAAGCATTCAGCTTTATGGACATGGAACCTCAAACTTGTCTGGATAGCTTCCAGCTGGAAGTTTTTTTTTGCTTTCTTTGGGCTTCTGTATATTATCTGAATTATTTTCTCTTTTTTACATAGAGGGTAGTATATTTTTGTTGATTCCTTCTCCTTGTCCAACCTTTGCATTGCATTTAAAAACCCCAAAGAAATGCAGTTTGTGAACAGCTGGATGTTTGTCTGTAGATTTTTCTTTATTTTTATTGGAAGGGGAAGGAAGTGTGTGGTGTTCAACCCAGTGTTGAAGAACAAGCCATAAAAGAAGTTTTTAATTTTATTGCTAATTGACTATCTTAATTCTCAGATGCCAAGATAGACTAGACTCTGTGAAATGAGATATTTAACCTATATAAAAGGATTATGTAGGTAGTGGAATAACTTTTTTTAATCTTGCAGTCATGAACACATAGAAATCCTCACTGTGAATGGGGAGTTACTGTTCTTCAGACAAAGAGAAGGGATTTTTTACCCCACGCTAAGGCTGCTTCACAAATGTAAGTTTTCTGAGGGTGGTAGTGGTGGGGAGAGAGGGTGAGTGCATGATTCCACAGGTCTTCTATAAAACCGAATTACAAAGAACTTGCTGCTTCAGTGCGTATTTATATTCCAGAATAAATCTTTAAGACATAGTTACAGTTGAGAAAATATACTTACTGCTTTGCTATTTCAGGGGCCTATATGATTATTGTAATGCTTTTGTTGCAATTAAACTGTGATTTCTAAGAATTAAATTGTGTAAAGTTCTGCAAAAAAATCGAGGTTTCCCTAGGACAGATTTCAATTTCCTGTTGTTAGTCCTGATCTTTGTTCTTTCACGCCTTCCTTGGAACTCTTGCTTCCTTCTAAATACTTAGTTTTTAGAAGAAAAATATTCTTTAATCATGTGTTTAATGATGTAATGTAGGCTTTTCTCCTGTAAGAATTTATGCTGCATGCTTCTTGCTTCGTACAATTTACTCACTTGCTTTATTTTTCTTGCTGTTCTCACTGTTCTGATTGTGTTACTGATCTGATCAGCTGACAGCCTTCATGAATTTTGTCCATCTTTGCTTTTTTGTCCTCACCATTAAACTGTTGCTTTTTCATGCAAGACATTACACATGAGGGATTTAAGACCCCTTGGTTTTAAACCTCTTAGTATGTGGGCACTGGTGTGATCATTTTTGTTGGGGGAACTTGTTAAAATCGTTACTCAGTATTTGGGTATATGAGCATGCAGGAGACATGGGCCTAGTGTTGGATTATCTTTTGGTTCTCAGATAAAGGATGTGGTCTGGGAGAACAGTACTTGAGTCCTTTCGGGACAGTACAGTCCAGCACGAGCTCCGGTAATTGTTACTCCAACTTCTACCATTGCAGTGCACTATGCATCTAAACTGCCTTGATAATGAGTTACCTGTCTTGTCATCTTACTGTATTAATTGTAATGCTCTGTTTTTCCCCTCCTAGACCCATTTATTCTACCACATCAGCAGGTTGATAAAGGCGCCATTAAATTTGTACTAAGTGGAGCTAATATAATGTGCCCTGGCCTGACGTCTCCTGGAGCAAAACTTTACCCTGCTGCCGTTGATACTGTTGTTGTATCCTTCTCAAACTATGCATTACTGCTTGCTGTGACAGGAGTTAAATTTCTGTTCTTGTTGTTCTCTGCTGATCATGATCTGAATTACTTTGCATTTTAATGGTACTTCATGGAATAGCTAGCAGTCTGAAAAGCTGCAGAGGTTCAGATGTTATCTGGCAAAGTTAAAATTGTTCCTAAACTTTACTTACTGTGATGTTCCAAACCAGATAACTGTTCCTGCTGTGCTGTTGGGTGGGATGCCGTTTCATTAATTTAATTTATAAGTGGAGCTCCTTTGCAGTTTTTTGCAGAAGTGTAAAAATAGATGAGGTATAGTGTATTTTGTCCTCTGCCTCCTTAATCAGTTTTCTGTCTCCTTCAGTGACAGAAGTTGGTCCTGTTCCTAGGGAGTCCGGGAAGATGTTTATGATCAGCTTTGCCCTAGTCAGGACTCGCTCTGTGTCTGATGAAATTAGCATATGTAGAATGAGGAAAGTAAGCTACTTCACTCCTGCTTATTGTCTTACTGAGAAAGGAACCCTGAGCAAATACAGCATTAATAATACCAAGCTGTGTTGCTTTTGTTAGGTGCTATAGGAAAAGATTAGCAGTTAGCATCACATGTTGCTGAGCTTTGAAAAGGACAGGTCTGATTTCGGGACTTCTATTGTTTTAGATTCGTGTCTCAGTTCTTCTGTACCTTGGAATCTAAAATGGCCCCACAAACATGGAGTTTTGTTCCAGAAAAAGTGAGGGGATCACTTCTCAGTGTTGGGCAGAAAAAAAAGGAGTGTAGTGCTTGGAAATCTTTTCCTGTAATTACTGTTTGAAGTTCATGAATACATGCTTTGTTCTACACACTGTGATCCAGTTGTTAAACGCAGTGCATTTTTTGGGCTTATCTTTAAGAGCTATAGCTCTCGAATTACTAAAAGGGTAAAAGTTCAACACAGGATTTTGAAATTTTTTGGAAAGTTGTTGCCTCATACTGCTTTTACTTTCCTGAAATAGTTAAAAAATAATAAACCCCTGTTTTCCTTAGCAGTAATTTGTAGGCAATAATGGCAGAGGGAAAACAACATGCATTATGTGTGGGAGTAATGAAGATGTCAGCTGAGGACATGTAAGTGTTTTCAATTGAAGTATAACTTGCCCATGTTCGTTTGGAATATAAGCACCACTGTCAAGGTTGCTGCATCACCATTGCAGCATATGTTGTTCAAGTACAGAATTTACTTAAGATTTCGTTTTGTTGATTAATATTCAGGGAAAGAAGAGGAGGAAGGCAATATCTTCCCTAATTATTTGTTTACCAGATGGAAGCAAAATAGTTCCTTCACAGGAGTAAGGATATTAAGATGCGCATCAGCCCTACCCCTGAATGTTGGAATTTCTTGCTCTCTGATCATAGTTTCTCAAAGATCTTGCTGAACAAAGAAATATCTATATAGAGTACATACTGCCTGGGCTGGGCAGGAGGTGTAATTTGGGTTTGAGTGGGTTGATGTGATGTATTTTTGGTTTTTTTGTCTGCAGGGACAGCAGAGACTGAAGTCCTGCTGCTGGCACTTGGTTGACCAGCTGGGCTTTCCTCTGTGGCCTTCACTTTTCCTTTGCCTTGTACCCACATACAGCATTTCTGTCTGATGTGCTTACAGGCTTAGCTAAGCTGCTTGTCAAATGTCCAGGTCTGTTTGGGGGATAAACATCAACTGAAAAGTGCTTGAGAAGGAAATGAGACAGAAAATGGAAATGGATGTTAGTGGGTTTTAGCATTCAGATGGTGCTAAATTATGAGGAGCTAAACTATTTTGTCACTAAGTTCTGTGACATCTTGCAGCAGGATTGGGCTGGATTGGTTCTGGCTCCATCTATCACTTGTGTGGGTGAGGAAGCTGACTTTGATGTGAACAAGTCACTCTTCCTTGTGGGGATAATTCTCAGCAAGATCACCTTCCGTACTGGGTCACGGCAGTACTATCGCCTCACAAGGCTGAGGGGTGGGAATGCGCTGCAGAGGATAAGGATAGAGAGTGGGACTGCAGCAACCTGGATTTGGACCTGCTCTAGCTGTTGGGGGATAGCATTCCTCAAGATTGTTTGTAGTACCTTCAAAAGATTCCAAGAGTAGGTGGAAAGAATAGCTACTTTTGTCCCAGCCCGACAGCTGCAGTGATCTCTGCAAACCACGGTATCTGTGTTCTTCAGATTGCGCAGCCTTGCAGCTGAGTATCCTGTCCCTGAGAGAAGCAACGTGAACTGGAGGGGAAAACAAAATTATACTGATCCATGCAGCCTCTTAGCGTGCTTTTTTGTGTGTTATTGTTTAAAACAAAAAACTATGAAGCTATGATTTCAGTCACTTGGTGCGATTGTGCTACATGATTTGTTAATGGAATTAACACAGCGATATTTTCCTTCCTGATTACTTTTGGGCAAGTTGTGTAAGTAATGGATCACAGTGTAAATACACAGTCAATTGTATTCTCCTGGGAAATGAAACTTGTTCTCAGTCCTGGGATAATGAGATTTGTCTTGTTTATTGTGACAAAACTGGATTTTTCCATGTAATAATATACTGGAAAAGAGATGAACACAAATCCAATGCAGATGCACAAAACCCAACCATTTTTAAAACATGACATGGCTCAAAAGATAGTCTGTCTGTAACATGCTGCAAGTCCTTGGCACATAAATTCAGCATTTATAATTGTTGATTGAGTGGGTACATGTCTTTCAGTGACGCAGCTCACCTGCACTTGACTGTAAACGGCAGACTTGGAACCAGAACTTGTCTAATTCCCCATTCCAGCCATGTTTCACCACCTCTTGTGCTAGTAGGGGGGAGTCACTTAAAACTGCTCTGCTACTTCGACAGAGAAATGCTAAGAGTAAGAAAAGTAGCAGAAGTGTTGTCTGAAGAACTGCCTCCCACAAAGTCGTAGTTAAAAATGTTTTGTCAACAACATTCCACAGCATGGAAGGCAAATATTGTCCTCTTACTATTCAGCAGCGGGGGTACACGTAATAACAAACCCTGTTTCTTGTCCACCTGCTGCTGAAGCTTACTGCTGCGTGGATGATGGCTTCTTCCAATTGGCAACTGTTGCATTGTCTACTTCAAATGCTGTATTTTGTACTGCTCTGATATTTAACCGAGCTAATACCTGTGCACCTTTTTCCTCCTTCTACAGCGAGAAGGTCAACAAAGGGATTGGTATCGAAAATATCCACTATTTAAATGATGGCCTTTGGCATATGAAGACGTACAAGTGAAACAAAAGGAACTGTGTTACTCCAAAGGAATGCACTTAGATTAAATGTGGACTGCTTTGTAATTCCTTGTTTTTAATGTGACTGAATGTACAAATTATTTTGTTCCGTGGCTATGCTAAATAAATCAAGTGAATGCGAAAGTCCTGTTAGGCTACACTAGTTTTCTAGAATTCTTTTTATTATGGTTCTTTTGTGTTGTCTTAAAGCCAAGTCTTCAGTGACTGAAGATATGTGATGGAAAGATCCTGCATGGACTGTGGGTAGACTATTTCAGAGACAAAGGAGGAAAAAGTCAAGAAATGTTTACATTTTTATGCTCTTCTGAAAGAGCAATATAAAGTGTATGTGAAATATAACTAATATGGTTTATAAAACCTCTGAAACATTTCAGATTTTTTTCTTCTGATGAACATCTTGTCAGTCTGCTGTTTCTTGAGTGTGAAGAGAATTTTTTTTTTTTTACATTTATTTTTTAACTTAATTTATTAACAGCATTAACTTCAGTATTTTACTTAGGGATTTTCTCTTTTTAATACGCATTTATCTGTGTGGGATCTATGAACTTAAATCTGTATGTGAACTAGAAATTCCATTATGCTAGTTCATATCTGAACAATATATATATGTGTTCCAGTTTCTACCTGCCAACACTGTTTGATACCGCGCTCCTCGTAGTGGAGTTTATAGTAACAGCGGGCATACTCCAAACGGAGTGTGTGCCAACCTGGTGCCTGACGCTCTACTCCCTGTTTGCCTTCTTATTTTAGGAGCGGAACCAAAATCACTGTTTAACAAAGACATGATAGCAAAACATGGTTCTCAGTGTAGCCAGGAGCCGCTTCTTCAGATGGAACTTCAAGCGCAATCTCAGCTTGTGCACACTGCCACGTGTATGTACATCTACAGAACGGGTTGAAGAGCACTATGTGTTTGTCTGGATAACCCAGCTCTGTTCAGCAACCGCGCACCCAAAGCTATGCCTATGGAAAACAGCCTGTGCCATGGAATAACTTAATAAACTAAGGAAACTTTAAGGTCTGTCACTCATAACTCTGTCTCTGGAAGCGTTTATTAATATTTCAAGTCTCTGTTCTAACACTCGTATTCTGTAAGGGCAGAACGTGATTTTGTCGCGGTGCTTTTCTGCGTGTTTGGTTTCCCCCCTCTGGGACCTTTGCAGGAGATGGTGGCAGAGGTGTTCTCCATCAGATTCTAGTCAAGACATGGGAAATGGAATGTGTTACCTAATTATGTGCTGTTTGTAAGTAATTTTACAGGAGAAATTTACAAGGTTGTGCTTTTTGAAAGTGACAGGGTAAATCTGGAACTATTAATGTAGGAAGACAAATTAAGGTGATTATTCCAGCAGTGCTGCAGAAAAAAGTTTGGTCAAACCTCAGACATTGCCTTTGGAATGCTAGTGGACATTTTTATGCATTTTAGACTCGTATAAATGTACTAATTTCTTGTTAGTGCTACGGGGAATCTGTTTGTGCTTCAGTGGTTCTTTTTTGCATAAAATGAGCTAGTGTCGAGTTCTGTGGCTTGCTTTTCCCCCTTCCACCTTGTCTCCTTTTTGTTACAGTACCTCTGAAATCCGTGTTAAGTGAGATTTATTCTGGTTTGAGTTGTTTACTCTTGTTCTTTTTCGTTGCCCTGCCCTATGACAGCTGTTGCAGTGGGGGCAGAAGAGTCTTTAATATCAGAAATGCCACTGAAATCAAAACTGTACTTTCTCTGGCTTTGCTGGAGTATTCCCAACTGCGATCTGACCTTTTAAAAATGATTCTGTAAGAAAACACAAGTTACATCATGCTTAAATTAATTTGTGTGCCAATTTAGCAGAATGCCAGAAACGCAAATGTTTTATGGAGGTTTTGGCAGCCATCGTACACATTTTTCTTGCTGTGGCAGCTGAGCTCTGACTGACGTGGAGGAGGAGAAGGCGCAAAAGGTGCATCTTCTGAAAGAGCTGGGCTGCGGTAGCTTGCCGTGTGGGGCTGAGCAGTTGTCTTACCGTCCTTGTCAATAAGGAAGGACCTGACAAAACCTGTAAGATGTGGATGTTCTCATTAGCTCTGTTTTGCTTTCCCACCTGCCTCCTTGCAGCTCAGGACAGGCTGAGATATTGCAAATGGTCTGTGGAAGGTGAGATGACGTATGGATACTGTAGTACCAACAAAGCTTGTGATAGTCCTGCGTGGTGTAGTGCACGGATGTAGTACCTTCCCTAAGTCTCCAAGCATCCACGTCAGGTCAGTGAATGGAGGAAAAATTGAAAGTGCTGTAACTGGAAGGGAGTGTGACCTGGTAACATGTATAAAACTGATTTCAAGTGCACTCAGTTGTAAACAAACCAACCCACAACAAACCCAAAACCCACTACACAACCCCAAAATCAGCCCTGGCGAGTTCTGCATATTGCTTTGCTGTGCACATAACCTGCTTTGCATTACCTCCAAAGGAAGGTGGGGAGTGCAAACACGGGTTGTTCTTGCTGCATCTTGGTGTTAAAAAGTCTAAAACATACCTACCTCCACCTGTATTGACAGTTAACTGACTTCTTCCTTGTAAATACTATTAGCACCACTAACAGGAGTGAAAATCATACTGAACCCTTATTCTAATATGCTTATACATGAAGTGCAATTTTAAATAAGCCATTACTCTTGTGCTAACAGGCTACCTGGCCGTGTTAATACTTACTCAAATATAATTTTCTCTTGTCTACTGAAAAACAGCAGTCCAAAGGTCACTTTAGTATTACTCTGCTGCAACTTCCTAACTGACCGCTGGCCAGCTGGCTTCCTGCTCCTTCCTCAATGGGTTGGGGGGCCGTACATAAAGCAACAGATGCTGCGTGAACAGCACAGCTCAAGTGGTTGTGTGGTTTAGTGCAAGGGAAATAGCTCAAAGTTAGCCTTTGAGACTGAATCTGCAGTCAGTTTTATTGGTATGTCTTAGAAAGGTATAAAGACATTCTAGAAATGCCTGGAAGAATTGAAAGAATCAGTGTCTTGCAAAAATATATTTGTAATGGTAGACTAAAGTTCATTTGAGTTTTCATTAATAAATATTTACATGTACAAATGCCCCATATAAACTTAATTTTATCTTAACTTCAACAACTTCTTTATCATTTCATTCCAGCACTGTCAAAAACCAGAAGCGTTTCTGTATAAAAGATTTAGAAAAAAGTTCTCCTTCCACTTTGAAAATTAAGAGCTTTACCAAACCTTGATGTGCAAAACAAAAAAAATTGTACACCAGTACCACCAGCTACAAAAATTGAATCCGTCAGTACAAATGTGTCATGAGAAGAGCTGACTCCACGGTTCCACGTTCTCTGTGATGAGATCTCAGTCATTGTCTGAGCCCACAGGCGGAAGGAAGATGAGCGCATCGTTGTACGTGTGGCCGTAGGGTCTCAGCCTGTACACGCCGTACATCATCACGTGCATGTGGTTCGGGGCCAGTCCGCTGAACGTGATGGCCATGTCGGAGCAGCAGCCGTCCACCACCTGCTGAGGGTGCGTAGACATGGCTTCCTTAATGAGAGCACCAACCGATTTAGTGTTAAAGACGTCTTTTCCTTCAGAATCTTCCGCGTTTTCGGCAAACACTCCAGTGTACTTCAGGCAGATTGCTAGCTGCTTGTCCTCGGCAAGTTTCCAAATCATACCTCCCTGCTCCGGACACTTGTCGGAGTCCTCAAAAACACGGGAGAGTCGTCTCAGTGATTCAATGCTTAAGACGATTCCTCCATCACCATCAACATACTCAAGGTCACCAGATTTCACAGTGTGGCCTATGTAAAAAGGCTGTGAGGCATCTTTCTTCAGTAAGAAATACTTGAGATTTTCAATAATAGCAAATGTTGTTGGATACGCAAGGAAGAACCAGCTGAATTCATCTTTATAGTGTTCATATGTTATCTTGTAAGCTTTTCTCATCATTGCCCACATATCATTTGTGTTGAGGGCTACAGAATCAAACACTTTGACGTTTTCAGAGCTGTAGAATTCCGCCTTGTCACAGTGCTTGCTCCACGTCTCTTTTGCTGCAGCCCAGTGCCCCAGATCTTTCGGTTTCACAAGGATGATACAATAAACACGGATACCTTTACTGAACTCCACGCGTTCGCCTTCCGAAAGGTTTAAAACGTCTTCTTTGTTGGGAGCCTGGATGTGGTGATGCTCGTGGTGATGTGCTTTAGGCCCGTGGCCCACCTTCATGTGTCCGAGGAGTGTGACCAGCATGCAGAAGGCTCCGCCCAGCACCACGCCCTTCACGAAGGAGCTGCCTTCGGAAATCATTTTTCCTAGAAAGGAGACACACAGTAAGAACTTCCAGGAATGAGTTCACTACTACAGATTCCGCACAGTTTTAATTTCTGAATCCAGCTACGCTTGCCGTAACTTCCATACCACGACGACGCTGGTGGAAGGGCGGCGGCAGGTTCCCAATCGGCTCTCGTTACCGCCAGCGCTCCGCGGGAGGGGTCTGGCGCCCCGGACCTGCTCGACCGCCCGGGCACCGGCT